TACATATTGGTATATAACTGTGTAACATAGTCTAAATTTTCTTTACAGAGCAAGGTATTGATATTGGTATGCTTTAATGCTAACACTAATGGTTACTTTGTGAACTGACCATTACAATATCTCATTGCAATCTTTACTATTCAATATAGTGAATGAGAGTTTGAGCCACACTTTTTTTTTTTTTTTTTGCGTGTTCTCAACTTGTAACGGTGCGATCAACAAAACGAACATTACAAGGTAACAAGTTTTTTTTCACTATTCAAATTCGCTCATTTATTTTCAGGTAACATAGGTCTTATTTCATTATTGAATAAGTTAGCAGTATGCTTAGAAGCTATGAGTATTTTTACTTACCAAATTAACTGAATCACTAAAGCTTAATGACACAAAGTAAAGGAATAACTTTACCTAATTCACCACTTCTAACCTTTTATAATGAAATATCAGGTAATGATTTAATAAGTTTATTAAATTGGTTGGTAGCATATTTAGACATAGAACGTTTACCGGTTCTGCTTTTGTCTTCAAGAAGAGCTAATAGAACAAAATGAAGGTTCATTTTTAGCATCACATAATCCGTCACTTGATCCTCCATTACCAATTTTTTCTAATGAAGCACCAGATAATAAATGACTTTGATTATTTGTTGAACTAGTTTATGGCATATTAAAACATTGAATTGTTACCAATTTTGTTCGAAAAGGTTTAATAACACAAGGCGATTGTTTAATTTCATACGATTTGTCAACTCCAGATATATATAACGAGACGTCAAGTAATGCGTAGTTTTTATCACTTTATTGAACTACTCAATATCATATTATATTTACTAATCCATATCTAATGATTTAACAGCACAAAGAAAAGGTTCGCTTTAATTTATTGTGATTTACTTTAATCATACACAATAAATAGTTATATAAACGAATATTTTTTTATCAATTTATATTAACTAATGATAAATAGCGCAAAATGAAGATTTAATATCGTCAGAACCATCTCTAATCATATATAATAAACCATCAGATAATACTTAGCATGTTAAAACATGAAGAATATTTCGCTTACCAATTTCACATGACAATAAATTCTACAAAATAAAAAATCCCCTTTAATTCTATCTGATCCACTACTATTCACATATAATGAACTATTATCAGGTAATATGCTTTTTTTGAGAGCATATTAGGCACAAAGAATTCTTACTAACTTAACATAAAATTGATAGAACAAAGTAAAAATTCACTTCTAACATATAATCAAACAGATAATGCATCTGAACTAATGACAGAATGCCCGATAGATGTGTTTGAGTCATCTACAATTCAAGTCCCAGCACCTGGAATACAATTCGAATCATGGGAACAAATTGACAGATACATTGATACTTATTGTAACTCTCAGAATTTTTCTAAAATCATCTATGGTGCTGAATATGATAATGGGATATGAAGATGCTGCCAATACCGGTGTGAATATCAAGGCCAACATAAAAGTAAAAAGAAGGCGATTGCAGAAATACAACGTAATACACGGTCTAAACGTAGTGGCTGTCCATGGTTAGTGAATATTACTTTTCCCAAAAAGACTGGTATACTTAGTATCATATCAGTTGCCTTGGAACATAACGATCATCCCAGAAACTCTCTCGCCAATAAATTTGCTATAACTCACCGAACATTAACTGAACCAATGTTAGAGAACATTGAATTTTAGACAACTAAAGGGAATATTAGCACATATACAACTCTATTTTGGATGATGCCCGATCAATATGAACTTTATATTAAATATCAGAACGTTGTTCAATATGATAATACGTACTCTACGAATCGGTTTAAAATGGCGCTTGGACTTTTAGTAATTGTTGACAATAACAATCGAACTTGAATTGTTGGACAAACGTTAATGAACGATGAAACTTCTGAGAGTTTTGAGTGGGTATTTTCTTCATTTATTCAGGCTGTGAAGGCTTATCCTCTAGTTATAATTACAGATAATGATCTTGCTCTCGATGCTGCTATTGCAAATACAATGCCAAACACCTATCATATACATTGTATTTATCATATCGGCAGAATTTTATAAAGAACTTAAAATCAAAGTTAGGAACTAAGTACAAAGACTTTTCTAAGGCTTGGTATCAAATGAGAAATATGCCATCTCAAGCTAATTTTAAACATCTCTGAAATTCACTTATAGAACAATACCCTGATTCAGCTTTATATTTAAATAGAGCGCTTAAAGGTAATCAACAACGATGGGCACTTTCTTATATATCTCGAGTTTTTACAGCCGAAATGCAGTCTACTCAAAGAGTAGAAGGGCAAAATAGAATAATAAAAAATACTATCAATAGTCATACATCAATTATAGAACTTACTAAAAAAATTGACAATCAATTTAATGATGCATCTACTTTTATTCAATATCGAAATTGGTTTCATTCAACAACTGGCTCAACACTTATACATGCAAGTCAAGACTTTTCTCCTTTAGTTGACAAATGGATAACTAAGTATTTAACACCCACCGCTCTTTCAATACAACGCCAAGAAATAGCCCAGGCTATTTGGTATACTATACAACCCGTTGATAAGCATCGAATTTATGAAATTAAACATAATGTTGAATTATATGATACTGGATTTGTAGAAGAGGCTATTGACATTCCATTAATACTTGTAAAGAGCTTATACCAATTGAATAGTTTGAAAATATTATTGAAATTTGGGAGCTTGTTCGTTATAGGTATACATATAAGAACTATGTTGTTCTGTTTGAGAATCGATCTTATCTTTGTACATGTCTTGGGTTAGTTCAACATAGTTTCGTGTGTCAGCACTTTTTTTGTCTTTTAGAACATTCAGCATACGCACAATTTCATATAATGTTTATACCAAAGCATTGGTATAAAGATGAAAAAACAATTAGAAAATAA